CTAGTTATATATAACACTAGAGGCCTGGTGCACGAAAATTCATGCACTAGAGGGCAGTTCCCTCAGCCTGGCCTGCCCCTTGGGATCCCTCGGGGATGTCCTAAGCCACAGTCTGGCCTCACTCCGCGAGAAATGACCAGGAAGATCAGGAGAAGGTGCTGCCCCCATCATTCCGCTGCTGCTGCCAAAGCCGCTGCCATCGCGGGGGGCTACTGACCCTACTGACCCTCAGCCCTGGCTTCTTAGCGCTGGCCCCGCCTCCTGCCCACTTGTGTGTGTGTGTGGGGGGGAGCAACTGGGGCCAGGCTGGCTGGGGGAGGGGCTGGTGGAGGTTGAGGCACCTCGGTCGCACCCAGTCCAGACTCTGTGGAGGCTCCAGGACTGCAGGCTGCCCCGCCTCTGCAGATGGAGGGGCCACGTGGCAGCGGGTGGAACCAGCCCACCTCTCCCAATGCCACATCTGCAGATGGAGGGGCCACCAGGCATGAGTGGGACTGGCCTGGGCCCTCGACACTGTTGCCTCTCTTGCACCACTGGGCCTTGGCCCTCACAGCTGCTGCAGCTTTGTCCGGAAGATGTCCGGTCTAATTAGCATATTACCCTTTTATTAGTATAGATTTTATAATAGTATTTTCAACTATCTCAAAGTATTTAAAAATAACATTAAAGCTTTTAACTAACACAATGATGTAAGCAGTATGGCCAGTTTTACAAATGGAGAAAGCAAAGAAGCAAAAAGAAATTAAATTGCTTACCCAAACAGAAAAGTAGGAAAGAAACTGGAATATGGTTTTATTATGAAAACCAAAATATTCAGCATAAAATTCAGAGTATGCAATTTACAGTCATATGAACCTGGCTATGAATCCAACCTCTTAATTAGGTGGGAACCACAGGCTTCTAGCTCCTCATGTTTAAAGGAAGAAAATAATCCCTACCTTATGATTCTCATGAATAACAAAATGCACTGAACATCAACCAAGTTGAAATGTCAATAAGGAAAGTGTGGAGGATTCAGACTCTTTGTAATCATAGGACCTATAATCACTAAAAACAGCTTTTAAATGTGTATAAATTATGAGGTCAAATTCTCAACCACTCAGAGTTGGTTCACTCATCAATTCTCATTTATGCAATATCCTTAGCCAACTCATCCCCACATCTCTCATCAAATTGTTCCCCAGATAAGAAATTTTGGGATGAAATTTTCTCACAACTAAGAAAAAAGAATCACTCACAAAAATTGAAAGATATACTGACCTTTTAAAAGCCTGCATATCAGTAATCATTTCTGAATGAATTGGACTGTCTGAATTATGAGACATTTCAACTATGTTGGCATATAAACTAGCACTTTTCATCCAAAACTGAACCTTCTTTAGACAATAGGAATTCTAAGCTCTAATGTTCTTGCAATAGTCAATGATGTAACAATAATAATAAAGTGTTGCAACAACAAAACGTTAAGTAGTCACTAGTTGGCAAATTCAAAGAATATTTAATCACAGGCGTGTTACTACACAATGGACTTTGTAACCCTAGGTTAGTGGCAACTTCTTTTACTACGAGATTACAAAAAGCCCTGAACTATCAAAGGATTTAATGCATGGGTGGGAACCTTTTTTCTGCCACGGGCTATTTGGTTATTTAATAACATCATTCTTGGACCACACAAAATTATCAACCTAAAAATTAGCCTGCTAGCCAGGGTGATGTGGCTCAGTAGTTGAATGTCAACCTATGAACCAAGAGGTCACCAGTTTGATTCCAGGTCAGGGTACATGCCAGGATTGCAGGCTCTGTCCTCATTAGGGAGCATACAGGAGGTAGCTGGTCGATGTGTCTCTCTCATCAATGTTTCTCTCTCTCTCTCTCTCTCTCTCTCGAAAAATCAATAAAAACATATGGCAAAAAAATTAACCTGCTATATTTGGTCAAACATTTAATTAAATCACCCCTAATGCAGCGGTTCTCAACCTATGGGTCGTGACCCCTTTGGGGGTCGAACGACCCTTTTACAGGGGTGGCCTAAGACCATCGGAAAACACATATTAAATATATAATTACATATTGTTTTTGTGATTAATCACTATGCTTTAATTATGTTTAATTTGTAACAATGAAAATACATCCTGCATATCAGATATTTACATTACAATTCATAACAGTAGCAAAATTTCAGTTATGAAGTAGCAACGAAAATTATTTTATGGTTGGGGGTTACCACAACATGAGGAACTGTATTAAAGGGTTGCGGAATTAGGAAGGTTGAGAACCACTGCCTTAATGCCTTGTCAAGGCCAGACCAAATGATTTCTTGGGCCTTATATGGACCTCAGGCCAGATGTTCCCCACCCCTGATATTAGAATAAGTAATTACAAGAACTATGAAATGAACAGCTGTTTATTTAATTACAATTACTTAAAATATATGTAATACAGCCCTGGCCAGTGTGGTTCAGGTGGTTGGAGCAACATCCTGTGCACTGAAAGGTTGTAGGTTTGATTCCCCATCAGGACACATACCTAGGATTGATCCACAGTGAGGGCGCATATGGGAGGCAACCAATCGATGTTTCTCTCATATCTTTCTCTCTTTCTCTCCCCTCCCCCTCTCTCCTCTCTCTCTCTCTCTCTCTCTCTCTCTCTCTCTCACACACACACACACACACACACACACCTTCTCCTCTCTCTAAAAGCAGTAAAATATATCCTCTAGTGAGCATTAAAAAATTATATTTAATTTTTAAAAATAAAGTATATGTAATACAATAAAAATAATCTGATAGACATAACTTATATTTATTTTAAAAAACCAAAATCTGCATGTTCCCAGCAACCAGATACTTTTGTTCTTAAAAGCTTTCTTTTTTATTTTATTTTATTTTTTTTAAACCTCACTGGAAGATATGTTTACTGACTTTAGAGAGAGGATGGCGGGGGAGGAGAGAAAGAAAAACAAACATTGATGTGAGAGAGAAACATTGGTTGCCTCTTGTATGTGCCCTGACCAGGAATCAAACACACAACCTTTTGGTGTATGGGATGAAGATGAAGCTACAACCAAATGAGCCACCCAGCCAAGACAGCAACCAGATATTTTTCTTTTTAAAAAAAAAATATATTTTATTGATTTTTTACAGAGAGGAAGGGAGAGGGATAGAGAGTTAGAAACATCGATGAGAAAGAAGCATGCATCAGCTGCCTCCTGCACAACCCCTACTGGGGATGTGCCTGCAACCAAGGTACATGACCTTGACCGGAATCGAACCTGGAACCCTTGAGTCCGCAGGCTGACGCTCTATCCAGTGAGCCAAACCAGCCAGGGCCTTTCCTCATAGAATACTTTGCCACAAAAATTAAACTAAAAAAAAATCAGAAATTATGGTTCTGATATCTAACCTTAACCAAGTTAGAATAAAGCTAACCATTCTTTATGAGGCAATTATGGAAAACGTCATTTTACCTATTTGAGTATTCTTTACAAATGAAGACATTTTCAGTCTCTTTAAAAATCAAAACTTTATATTTTGACCATTTTAAGTTGGTATCTTTAAAATGATTTTAAATACATGATCACTGTAACATAGTAAGACTGATTGTCACACAAACAGAATCTCTTAAATTAGTCATTACATCTCTTTTCCCTAGGTCTTTTAAAGATGCCTAACAAAATGAATATTTTCTTATGAGTCAAGTGTCATCCTTAGTGTTAATGTTCCATGCAGTGAAATCCTATTAAAGAGGTCTTTTTTGCCTCCAAACATCATCACTTTGGGTGTTAGGACTTCAGCATATGAATTTTGGGGGCACACGAACATTCAGTCTGTAACACATGAAAAAGGAAGCAAAATATTATTGCCTGCTGTCTGCCTGTGATAGGGAGATCCTAAGATAACCCATGCCCTTGTATAGTATTCTCCGCTTGGTGAAGGCAGGATCTATGAATATCACTCCTGTGATTATGTTATGGTAAGTAATACGGCAAAGATGGAGGATATTGCAGGTACAATTGTGGTCCCTAATCAAGTGACTGTGTTAATCAAAAGGGAGATTAGCTTTGTGGGTGTAACCTAATGGTGAGCTCTTTAAAAGAGAGACTGAGGCCATTCCTGCGGTCAGAAAGATTCTTCTGGTGGCCTTCAATAAGCAAGCTATCAGGACAAAATAGATTGTGTCAACAACCATGTGAACTTAGAAGAGGAGTCTCAGATGAGGCCACTGTCCCCACCAACACTTGACTGTAGTCTTCTGAGACCATGAGCAAAGAGCCATGCCTGGACATCTGACCCATGGAAACAGTAAGATAAATGTAGGAATGTATATGCAGATTTTAAGCTGCTAATTTTTTGTTACTTTGTTATGCAGCACAGAAAACTAACCCATTGCCACAACAAACTTTTTCAGTAGATAATGCTCAAACATAATTCAGACAGATGGTAAAGAATGGAAAAAGTTAAATATAGCTCTTTACACACATAAATAACCACAAACTTATTTCCCAAACTAATTCTGCTTATTGGTTTAAAAGATGAGTACTGAATAAAAATCAAATTCTTGCCATCTAACAAACTCATTAGCTAATGCTTCATGAACTGGTCTATGTTTGTTTTCTAATAATTTTTCATATTTTTTGCTTATTCCAGTCTTTCTACCAATTATAAGGAACTAAAGGCCTGGTGCACAAAATTCGTGCACGGGGGTCCCCTTGGTACAGCCTGTGCCCTCTCACAGTCTGGGACCCCACAGGGGATGTCTGTCAACTTATGCCCGATCCCTGCGGGAGCAGTCAGACATCCCTCTTGCAGTCCAGGGCTCTCACAGTCTGGGACCCCTTGCTCCTTACCACCTGCCTGCAGCAGAGGTGGGAGAGGCTCCCACCACCGTCACTGCACTCGCCAGCCATGAGCCCAGGTTCTGGCTGAGTGGTGCTCCTGCTGTGGGAGTGCTCTGACCACCAGGAGGCAGCTCATGCATTGAGGGGAGCAGTCAGACATCCCTCTTGCAGTCCAAGGCTCTCACAGTCTGGGACCCCTTGCTCCTTACCACCTGCCTGCAGCAGAGGTGGGAGAGGCTCCCACCACCATCACTGCACTCGCCAGCCATGAGCCCAGGTTCTGGCTGAGTGGTGCTCCTGCTGTGGGAGTGCTCTGACCACCAGGAGGCAGCTCATGCATTGAGCGTCTGCCCCTTGGTGGTCAGTGCACATCATAGCAACCAATTGTTCCACCATTCCATCAGTATGCATATTAGGGTTTTATTATATGGTTAGATAAGACAAAGCTAATTACTTAAGTCTATAATTATTAAAGCCTAAATATTTCATGTTCAAGTTCCCAGAAGGGCTAGGAAAAAATGAAGGCAAAACTGTCATCTGGTCACTTTTCCCATTTTTCTATTCAAAACTTGAAAGTTTAAGAATCTGGCAATCACATTAGGAAACACACAGATACACACACTCACACCCCCATTCTAAGCCTGCTATCAAACAACAAAACAATGACTTCCTCAAAGATGGTCCCTATCAACCCCCACCCTCCTGGTATTCATGCCATTGTAAAATCCCCTCCCCTTAAGTGTGTGCTAGAATTAATGACTCACTTCTAATGAAAAGAACATGGTCAAGTGTCACTTCCAAGATTAAGAACATGACAGAAATAATAGGATGTCACTTCTAAGATTAATTTATAAAAAGACCATGTCCTCCATCTTGGGGATTCTTTCTTGGGAGTCCTTCCCAGGGGGAAGAGAGCTACTTGTTGTGAAGGAGACTCATGGAGAGGTCTAAGTAGCAAAGAATAAGTCTGCCAATAACCACTTGAGCAAGCTTGGAAACTGAATCCCTTCCCCAACAAGTGGAGCCTTCAGATGAAACTGCAGCCCTGACCAAGAACAAGCTCAGAAGAGATCTCAAATGAGAGGCACCCAGCTAAGTCACATCCAGATTCCTGACTCACAGACACTGAGATAACAAATATTTATTGTTATAATCATGAAGTTTTAGAGTAATTTGTTATACAGTAATAGCTATCTAATACTCACCATACCATCAAATATAAGCTAAAATTATTAGTTTGAGATGACAATACAAAAAATGAAAAGAAAAAAATCCATACAAAGATAAAAGCTCCAACCTGAAGCACTCTTCCTGAGAGGCCAATAATTTCACCATCTTTTGGCTCTACTACTGTAGCAGTATTCACATCACCACTTCCTGTTGTGTCAATGATATCAACAAGCTTTGGTTTTCCATCAGATGTAACCTAAAAATGAAAAAGAATTAAAATGAGTTATAGTTTTAAGTTTTTTTCCTTAAAAAAACATCAATCCTCGTGTGTGCGCGCGCGCGCACGCACGCATAGGTACACATATATAAAACATCCTATAAAAATCTGCATTTGTTATAAAAAGAACTGAATTGTTTTAAGCCAAAAGTCTGATAATACTAAAAAGAAAATTTACTCTAGAAAACACCACAGAATCCTTCAAGTGGTTTCACATACTTGGTTAATAAATATATACTGAGCATTTACTACAGACCACGCTCTGTTTTAGGGTTGGGAATATAATAATGATCAATACACAAAAATCCCTGACCTCACATATCTTATATTAAACAGTCACTGAACAAGTAAAAAATATAACACATCAGTTGGTGATAACTACTATGGAGACAAATTAAGCAGGAAAAGGGCACAGGAAGTATGGGAGTTTTTATTTTAATCAAGATGGTCAAAAAAGGTATCACTGAAGAGGTAACACTTGAAAAAAGATCTGAAGGTGAGCTTGGAGCTACACAAGCCCAAAACTTTAGGGGGAAAATGTTTAATAACATGTCATTATTGGATGCCATAATAAGCACTCAAACTTCATAAATATCCAAATTCAAACTTAACACTAAAACTTGTTTCTCACCACACTTTGCCATCTCAGGAAATCAACACACAAGCCAGAAACTTAAAAGTCCTTCTCTGGCTCTTTAGTTTATCCCCCACATCAAATCTGTCAGGAAGTCCTCTTAATTCTACTTCTAAAATATAATTCAAATCCACCCTCTTCTCTGGATTTTCACTATCAGTACCCTCCACTAACCATGCTCTCTTGCCTTCATACTAAAATGCCAGTGTCTCCCAGTGCCCATTCTTGGCCCCCACAGAAATTAATAGCCAAACAAACTGTATTATGCCAGTCCTCCACTGAACACCCTGCTATGGATTCACTGTGTGATCAATATAAAAAGCCTTTGCCATATGTGACCCTACAAGAGATCCCACCTCAGAGCAAAAGATTCACACAGACTAAAAGTGAATGGGTAGAAAAATATATTGCATGCAAATGGAAATGAAAAAAGCTGGGGTAACAATACTCCTATTTGACAAAATAAATTTCAAACTAAAAGCCAAAGAAGGTCATTACATAATATTTAAAGATATCGATCCAACAAGAAAATATAACCTTTGTAAACATATATGCACCCAATATAGGTGCACCTAAATATATTTAATAATAATAATTTAAAACAACAACACCTCTTAGAAAACTTTAAGGGAGAGACTGACAGCAATACAGGTATAGTAGGGGACTTTAACACCCCACTCACAGCCACTGGGTAGATCTCCCAGACGAAATAGGTCAACTATAAGAATTAGAAAGAGAACAACAAAAGCCCAGAGTAAGTTGAAGGAAGGAAATATTAAATATCTGAGCAGAAAAAAATGATACAGAGGCTAAAAAAACACACAACAAAATATCAAAAAAATAAAGAGTTCGTTATTTGAAAAGATAAACAAGATTGATGAACTGCTAGCCAGGCCCATCAAGAAACAAAGAGGGAGAACCCAAATAAAATGAGAAATGAAAGAGCTGAAGTAACAACTGACATCACAAAAATACAAAGGATTGTAAGAAAATACTACAAACAACTATATGCCAATAATTTGAACAACCTGGGTAAAATGGACAAATTCCTAAAACTATAAAATCTTCCAAAACTCAATCAAGAAGACTCAGAAAACCTAAATAGACCTATTATAAGAACAAATGAAGCAGTAATCAAAAAACTCCCAGCAAACAAAAGTCCTTAAGTCTGTATGGCTTCACAGGTGAGTTTTACCAAACATTCAAATAAGAGGTAACATCTAGCCACCTCAAACTATTTCAAAAATTCTGGAGGAGTGAAGACATCCAAGCTCTCTTTATGAGACCAGCATTATCCTAATTCCAAAACCAGATAAAGATATCACAAAGAAAATTACAAGCCAATAACCCTGTCAAACATAGATGCTAAAATCCTTAACAAGTTATTACAAATCAGATCCAGCAATACATTGAAAAGCTCAGACACCATGACCAAGTGCGATTTATTCCAGGGAAGCAAGACTGTTACAATATATGCAAATCAATAAACGTGATTAATCACATAAACAAAATGAAGGATAAAAACACATGATTATCAATAGAAACAGAAAAGTATTCAACAAAGTCGATCATCCATTTATTATAAAGACTTTCAGGAAAGTGGGAACAGAGGGATCATACGTTAACATAACTAATACTATGTATAACAAACTTACAGCCAACATTATATTCAATGGGAAAAAACTAAATGTGTTTCTCTAAAGAACAGGAACAAGACAGGGCTGTCTTCTTTCACCACTCTTATTCATCATAGTACTGAAAGTCCTAGCCACAGCAATCAGACAAGAAAAAATAAAAGAGTCAACCAAATTGGAAAGGAGGAAGTAAAACTGTTATTATCGCAGATGACATCTTATTGCACATAGAAAACCCTAAAGACTCCACCAAAACACCCCCCCAAATTTTTTAAAATATATTTTTATTCAATTTCAGAGAGGAAGGGAGAAGGAGAGAGAGAGATAGAAACATCAATGATGAGAGAGAATCATCGACCACAGCCTCCTGCATACCCCCTACTAGGGAACAACAAACCCGCAACCTGGGCATGTGCCCTTGACCAGAATCGAGTCCAGGACCCTTCAATCCGCAGGCCGACGCTCTATACACTAAGCCAAATCAGCAAGGGCAACCCTGCTAAACTTAATAAATGAATTCCACAAAGTAGCAGGATATAAAATTAACATCCAGAAATGGATGGCATTTTTTATATACCACTCAAAAAGAGAAACTAAAAAAAACAACAAACCAATCTTATTTACCATTGCAACAAAAACCTAAGAATACTAGTAAACTTAACCTCAGAGATACAAAAATTTGTACTCAAAAAATTGTAAGACATAGGAAAAAAATAGAGAAAGATACAAACAAGTAGAAACATATACCATATTCATAGATTAGAAGAATTAACATGATTAAAATGTCCATACTACCTAAAACAATCTATAGATTTAATGCAATCCCAATTAAAATACAAATGGCATATTTCACAGGTCTAGAACAAATATTCCAAAAATGTATATGGAACCAGAGAAGGCTCTGAATAGCCTCAGCAATCTTGAGGAAGAACAAAATGGGCGGTATCACAATATAAGTCAAACTATACTACAATGCCATTGTAATCAAAACAGCCTGGTACTGGCACAAGAACAGGCATATAGACCAACGAAACAGAACAGAGAACCCAGGAATCAGCCCAAGTCATTATGCCCAATTAATATTTGACAAAAGAGGCAAGAGCATACAATGGAGTAAGGATATGATATTCTCTTTAATAAATAAGGTTGAGAAAATTGGACAGGTACATGCAAAAATGAAACTAGACTATCAATTTGCATCATACACAAGAATAAACTCAAAATGGATAAAATATTTAAATTAAGTCACAAAAGCAAAAAATCCTAGAAGATAGGCAGCAAAATTTCAGATGTCTCACATAGCAGTATTTTCACTGATACATCTCCTAGGGCAAGAGAAACAAATAAACAAATGGGAATACACCACACTAAAATGCTTCTACAAAGCAAAAGAAACCATCAACAAAATGAATAGGGAACCCACTTTATGGAAGAACATTATTTGCCAATGATACATCTAATAAGGGGTTAATTTCCAAAATATATAAAGAACTCATACAACTTAACAAAAGGAAAACAAAACAAAAAAAATCCAACTAAAAGATGGGCGAGGGACCTAAACAGACACTTCTCCAAAGAGGACAGATGGCCAAGAGACATATGAAAAAATGCTCAAAGTTACTAATTATCAGAGATATGCAAATTAAAACTACAATGAGGTATCACCGCACACCTGATAGAATGGTTACTATCAAAAAACCAACAAACAAAAATGATGGCCAGGATGTGGAGAAAAGGAAACCCTACTATACTGCTGGTGGGAATGCAGACTGATGCAGCCACTGTGGAAACAGTATGGAGTTTCCTCAAATAATTAAAAATGGAACTGCGGTTTGACCAGCAATCCTACTTCTGGGAATATATCTTGAGAATCCTGAAACACCAATCAGAAAGAATGTATGCACGCCCCTAATCACAGCAGTGTTATTTATAACTAGAGGCCCAGTGCACTGGCAACCAGCAGCAGTGGTTCTTGGGTGACACACCTGGAACCAGAGACGAGGGAGCCCGATTCTGGGGTTCGTCACCTGGCCTGTGCCCTCTCACAATCCGGGATGCCTTGCTCCTTACTACTTGGCTCACTGCTCCTTAGCGTGGCCGCAGAAATGGGAGAAGCTCCCACCACTGCAGCTGCGCTCACCAGCCATGAGCCCTGCTTCTGGCTGAGTACACTGACCACCAGAAGGTAGCTCCTGCATTGAGCGTCTGAACCCTGGTGGTCAGTGCAGGTCATAGCAACTAGTTGCTCTGCTGGTAGTCCGCCATTAGGTCGATTCGCATATTAGGCTTTTATTATATAGAATAATTAAGAAGTGGAAACAGCCCAAGTGCCCACCAGATGAGTGGATAAAAAAGCTGTGGTACATTTACACAATGGAATACAGGGTACTGAAAAGAAAGAAGGATTTCTTACCCTTTGTGACAGCCTGGATGGACTTGGAGATTATTATGCTAAGTGAAATAAGACAAAGACAAATAGCACATGATCTCACTTATTTGTGGAATCTAATGAACAAAATAAACTAACAAAATAGGTCTAGAGGCATGGATGCATGGAACAGACTGACAGGCTCCAAAAGGATGGTGGTGGGAAGAAAGGGAAGAGATTAGCCAAAGAACAGATATGCATATATGCATAGACAATGGACACAGACAATAAATAGTGTGGTATAGACCTGGGGAGGGCAGGAGCTGGTTGGATGGGGGCAAAG